GCCACCACCTCCATCTCCCCTTTACCCCCAACTTACCGTAGTGCTATGAAAGATCCAAACTGGCATGCTGCTATGTGTGATGAATATAATGCTTTGTTAAAGAATGAGACATGGGAACTAGTACCCCCCTCCCCCAACCAAAACATAATCACCGGTAAATGGCTCTTCCGACACAAATTTGGCTCATCCGGTGAGTTATCCAGGTATAAGGCCCCATGGGTGGTCCGCGGATTCAATCAGCGTTTTGGCGTTGACTACAGCGAAACTTTCAGCCCCGTCATCAAGCCTGCCATGGTCCGAATCGTCCTTAGCCTCGCGTTGTCTCGTGGGTGGCCCATCCATCAGCTCGATGTCAAAAATGCCTTCCTCCATGGACAGCTTCAGGAAACCGTGTATGCTAGCCAGCCCTCAGGATTTCAGGATGCAAATCGCCCTCATCATGTCTGCCGGCTCAAGAAAGCTCTTTATGGTCTAAAACAGGCACCCCGGTCATGGTATCACAGATTTGCAGGTTTCATTCAGACTATTGGATTTCGCAGCTGCAAATCTGACACCTCTCTCTTCGTCTTCACGCATGCCTCGGGGACCGCTTACCTCCTATTATATGTTGATGATATCGTCCTCACTGCCTCCTCGCCAGGGCTTCTTCAGAGTCTCATTCAGAAACTCAAGGCTGAGTTTGCCATGACAGACATGGGTGATCTGCACTTTTTCCTCGGCATTAATGTTTATTGCACTGCTTAGGGCCTTTTCCTCCATCAGACACAGTTCACTCACGACATCCTTGAGAGGGCAGGGATGGTCTCCTGCCGCCCCATATCCACTCCAGTTGACACAAAGGCTAAGCTTTCTTCCTCCTCCGGCACGGCATTTCCAGATCCTTCTCTTTACAGGTCCATCGTAGGTGCTCTACAGTATCTCACATTCACCAGACTTGATATCACTTATGCCGTTCAGCAGCTCTGCCTCCACCTTCATGCGCCCCGCGACTCTCACCTCACGGCCATGAAGAGAGTTCTCCGTTATCTTAGCGGCACCGCCACTCACGGTATCTACCTGACTCGCTCCTCGACAGACTATCTCCAGGCTTATTCTGATGCTGATTGGGCTGGCTGTCCCGACACCAGACGTTCCACTTCCGGGTACTGTATTTTTCTAAGTGACAACCTGATTTCCTGGTCTTCAAAACGCCAGGCCACCACTTCCCGCTCCAGTGCAGAGGCAGAATATCGGGCTGTGGCAAATGCAGTTGCTGAGACTTCTTGGGTCCGAAATCTTCTTCTTGAGCTCCAGCAACCTCTACGACGCGCCACCCTCGTCTTCTGCGACAACGTCAGCGCCGTCTATCTCTCATCAAACCCAGTTCAGCACCAGCGCACCAAGCACGTTGAAGTCGACATACACTTTGTGCGAGATAAAGTCGCACTCGGCCATATCCGAGTCCTTCACGTGCCCTCTTCTTCACAGTATGCTGACATCTTCACCAAAGGACTACCTTCTCTACTCTTCCTCGAGTTTAAGTCCAGTCTGGGTATCAGACCCCCTCCTCATCTGACGTAGCCGGGAGCATGTTAAATATATGCTATATTTAATGTAAATATATTGTTTCCTATTATTGTCTCCTACCTTGTATAGGATTAGGAATATATTGTTTCCTATTATTGTCTCCTACCTTGTATAGGATTAGGAATCTTTGTGTATATATAGACATGTACTCCCACATATTCAATCAATGAAATTAACCTTTCTACAGTTTTCTTCCATTCTAATCTTTATATGTTGTGTAGAAAAAAACCTCTATTTGTTATTCTGGTTATTCTCTTGCATGTGCTCGTTGATGAACTGTGATTTGAAATATATTTTTCGATAACTCTGGATTTACTATCTAAATTTGTTCTAATAATTGATATTTATGGTGTGATATCTTGTTATAATTAAGTATTTTTGGCATTGCTTTATGTACAACGGGCATTGCACTTACCTCATATTTTGATGCATTTACTTTGCATTTGTTTACTTTCTGATTAAACATTATGGTACTTAGTATAAAGCAGAAGAATTCTGGTTGATGCTTAAATGCATGATACGCACCCTAGATATGCATTATAGAGAATATAAGATGCATTGTAACTCTAGACAATGCATCCTTTTATTTTGTATTCTAAAAGTCAAAGTTCATGCATCTCATTGTGAAATTCTTCTCATGCAAATATGATGCATCAGTATAGTCTATATATTGATTTTTTGCAAATGATGATGCATTGAAATATTTTATCATACATTTAAGCATGGGCTAGAAAACGTTGACGAATGATGCCAATTTTAAATATGAAACTATGTATTTAGTAGGTCTAAGTGCAAGATGAGAGTCTATTTGAAAAAACAAATTGTTGCCTATTAGCTCAAATGGTAGAGCGATGTGTACTATGGATGTGGGTTTGAATCCCGCATAAGCAAACTATTTCTCAAACATGTATTATACTTATTTTTGAATACAATACATTTTCAGGCATTTTCATCGCATATAAAGTCACAAAAAATCATTATTCACAACCCACTAATTAAAATTAATTTGAGTAAAATTGAAGGACAAATCACCTACATATACCAGTCACCAAAGTGCATTTGCATCAGATCATAGTGCTTAAATCCGTCACCACAATGTATCCCCCTGAAAAATTAAGAAAGGTGGGGTATTAAATATGTTCTCTTAAATTACATTTATTTTGAATCATATAATTTTACTTTTTTAAACGTACATTGTGACGAGTCAAAATGGAAATCCTAATTTGTCACAAATGGAGTAACAATAAGAGAGATCTCGAAAAACCAGCTTAAGAATTGTGTATTTATTTCGTTAAAAAATGAAGAAAAAATATTTATAAACGTCACTATTTTTATTCTACATATAAAAAGAAGATAATATCAAAATTTTATATTTAATATTGCTGTAGTTGGGTAGATCTCAGAGAGGAATTTCTAATAACATATTATTGATCAAGAACGAACTTTCTTACGAAAAATTATGTACAAACGAGATAATGTCACAAAATAATTAGACAAAATCAAATAAATATTTTAATATAATAACCATTTTTAGTTAAATACTAAAGTGATTGCACAAAATAAATGGGTTAATTAATTGCACCGTATAAAAGGGAAGTTAGTGGATCTTTTTCTTCTTATCCATGCCATGCGTGTACTAGTTTTCGTGAATTGCCCTTGGATCTGAACCATTCCCTAATATAGTGGTGCCTAATTAATATATACCATTTTTAGTTGGTCAAAGCATTTAATTCGTAAAATAAACCTAAGCGGTTTGATGCATCTGATCTAGCGTCTATATTTTATTCTCATTTCTTTCATTGATAGTCATTCTCACAGGAACCACCCCTATGTAGGTTCAGGTGAGAATGCGAACTTATGAAAGAAATAAGAATGAATTTGGTGCTTTAGATTGTGAGATCTAAGGGTAAGGATTGCATCAAAATTAGGTGCACCAAAATGGTTTGAAAATGTATCATGTCGAAATGCACTAAAATTCTTTGAAAATGTACCATCTCAAAATCTGAGTGCAGGATGCAATCTGAGCCGCACGATGCATCAGATCCAAAGGCTAGATTTTATTCTTATTTCTTTCACCAAGGTGCATTCTCACGTGTACCAGCCCCTATATATATATATATATATATATATATATATATATATATATATATATATATATATATATATATATATATATATATATATATATATATATATATATATATATATATATATATATATATGTGTGTGTGTGTATATATATATATATATATATATATATATATATATATATATATATATATATATGATGGTGTAAATATAGCGGGGTGGGTTAACCGGGTTTGACCTGGACACACTCGACCCGTAATATAAAACACACAACAAGAACACAAAGTATGACCTAGACCGGGTAAATCTCCTCAGTCCGAATTATATTTCTTACTCTATCTCAAGAGTGAACTTTAGTGAGAGAAAAATTGGATCCCCTCCTCTATCCAATATCATCATATGTATAGAGGAGGATTTGTGACCTTCCCCTGTTCATCCATGGACAAAATAGGAAGCTCGTGGGAAGGTCACTGTAGATAATGGGAACACTGTACAATCATAGAATTTAGCAACTATAAGCCAAGACATGTACTGTTCAATCAAAGACTAAAATGGATATTCTCAATCCAATCAACCCTGCAAAATGACAAATATCCCTTTCACTGTGTGCCTCGTGATGGATGAGCGGCGAGGTGTCCCCTTGACCTCTGACGTGGTTCACCATGCCTAAAAGACTGAACCAATGTTAGCCAAGTAAAGTGATATGACCGGTCACCTTCTCTCAAAAGTTACCCGGTCATTCTTCGTGCTCAACCCATCTCTGGTCTTCTAGAATGTCCTTTGTAACATTAGGCGACATTTTGGCTATCGCCCAAAATGTGACCGATCACTTTTTTAGTGGAAGTGACCGGTCAACTTTTGACCCGTCCCAATCGAAGAGTTAACCTCATTTGGTGATTGATAAAAGTCACCGGTCATATTTTTGACCTGTCCCTTTCGGTTGTCCGGGTCGGGTATAGGGATATACCCATCAAGAAGTCCTCCACTTACCGGCCTTGTGAGGAAGTCATCAAGGGCGGGAAGTATACTTATGTTAACCCATCACCTTTGAATCCAACAAGTCTTCTCTCATGACCTGTCCTTTTGAATTCATCAAGTCATTCCCATGACCTGTCTTTCTTTGAAATCATCAAGTCATTCCCATGACCTGTCCTTCTTTGGAATCATCAAGTCATTCTCATGACCTGTCCTTCTTTGAAATTATCAAGTCATTCCCATGACCTATCCTTTTCTGAAATCACCAAGTCATTCTCGTTGACCTGTCCTTCTTGTTGACCTGTCCTTTTAGACCCGTCACTTTTGTGATTATCATACCTTTCTCTTTCAAGACCTGTCTTTCTCTGGATTGTCAAGCCTTTCTTTTTTAAGACCTATCCTGTCCTTCTTTGAAATTATCAAGCCATTCCCATGACCTTTCCAAGGAGACCTGCCCATTTCTTGGATTCACCGTCTTCATACCAGACCTGGCACTTATGGATTTGTAGACCACGCTGTATGACCTGTCCATTTGGATTTGTGGGAGTCCAAACGTTGAGCCTGGCCTTTTAGTTTTGGAATTTCCCCCCAAAACCTCTCACCTTCCACATTCAAAATTCAAATTTTCCCTCCTAATCACAACCTCTTCCACGTGTCAGGCGCTCCTTCTCCCACCTGACGCCTCGAGCTCCAAACCGCCTCTCTCTCTCCTATAAATACTCCTCCAACCCATCTCATTTCTTCACTTCTCTCCTTCGTTTCTCTTGATTTGCCCGGTCTGCTTTCTCTCTCTAGCTTCTCACCAAGTAAGTGCTCCAGTCCTCCTAGTCTTTTATTTTTCATCTCCCCTTTTTTAACCGGCAACATCATGTCTTCTGATAGCCAAAACATATCCGGTCAATCTTATGGGTCAGGCTCTCAGCCCTCTTCTTCTTCTCATTCTGAGTCTTCTTCTCCTGTCACTCCTTTAATTCGCCGCCCTTCTCACCAATCCAGCTCCCAGGCCCGGGAAATAATTGCCCAGGACCCTGTCCCTTTTAATCAACTGCCCGGTCGATTCAATCCCAAGGTCCTTAGCTGGGAGCAATGGGAGGAACGACTGGGATCCTTGGGCTTTCTAGCCCTTGATGTCAGACCGGTGTTCAAAGAGTCCTCTAGGGTTACAAAAAAGGTCCTGGCCGAGGTGCGCTCCGTCCTTCCCCCGGGCTATAAAGTCCTTTCTAACACCACCTGGCCCAACATCATAGAACCCCACCAAAGAAACCGGTTGGGGTTTCACATCGCTTCGCTAGAGGGGGGCATTATCTTTCCCCTTCGTCCCCTCCTCGTAGAAATCTGTAACAAGTTCAAGATTTTGCCCAGCCAGCTTACTCCAAATGCTCACCGGTTCTTGAATTGTTTTGTAAATATCTGTGAAAATTTGAAAATCAACCCTTCCCTTGAGCTTTTCCTCCATATGTACGAAGTCTTGCCCGGGACTATTAACTGCCCAGGTTTCGTCTATTTCCATTCTCGTAATAAGAGATCTTTTGTGACCGGTCTTCCCCCTAGTCACAAAAGATGGAAGAAAAGATTTGTTTTTGTTGAATTCCCCCCTGACCAATTTCCTCTCTCAAACCCTGAGTGGGCTGACCGGGTTATAAAACCTGAAAGGGTACAACCGGAGCCCACTAAAGATCTTGAGGACGCCTGCGAGAAACTTCTCAAGGGTGATCCTGTGACCGGGAAACCTTATGCCTACGGGGGCTGGGTATTTCGGCTAGCTAACCCGAATGGGGGTGCGTCTGCGACCCATGACGCTGAGGATAACCGGGCTGATTCCCCGGATGGTCATGCTGAGGCCGGCTCTCCTCATCCAGGTTGGTTAATTTTCCTCAACCTTTTGATTCCACTTTCATTTTGATAAGGTGTAGAATCTAACCGGTTACTTTGTTCTTTTTGGCAGACATGAACTTCAACAGGATGACCACCATCATTGAGGATGACGACAATGATGTCCAAGTCCTCCACTCCAACCGGTCTCCTCTCTCTAACTCTCCTTCTCCTCCTTACTTCCCTGGAATGGATGGGGCCACAAGTGCCCGGTGTAGCCCTATCCATGAGCAGAGCCAGAAGCTGAAATCTCCCTCAGCCAGGCACCATTCTGAGGTTGACCGGGCTAATCCCCCCAAAGTCCCGGTCCAATCAGGTGCTAAAGAGGTCGGTGCATCTTCCTCTTCAAAAGCCAAGGACCAAAAAAGGAAGAGCTCTCATAAGAGTTCGAGGGGAGGCAAGAAGAGGAAGATTAGCTTATCAGACAGGGAGGGGGAAACCATCGAAGAAGCCTTCCTATCCCTGGCCAAAAAACTCAGCAAGGTATTTCATCTCCAATTTTCTTCCCGGTTCACGTTTTTCCTTCACTTTTACTGATATGCATCCTCTCTTTTTATTTTTTATTTTTACAGGCCGGGGTCATTTCAGAGGAGATTGGCCAAACATTAAAGGAGAAGGACCAGGTCTCCCAACTCACCCTCCTCCTTGATTCTGCTAAGTTAGAGATCAATGACCGGGCAGAAAGGGAGAGGAGACTTGAGGAAGAGTTGAAGGAAGAAAGGGCCCGGTTTGCCCTTTTGGAGGAGGAAAGGAAGAGAAAGGTTGCCAAGCTCGAGGATGCGCTGGGCCAGGCTGAAGAATCTGCCCGGGCAAAGGAGGAAGCCTTTCCCACTGAAGCTGCTCACTGGGCTGCAAGCCATCACTTGGAAACTGCCCGGTCAATTCTTACCACACCGGAAGAAACCATGGACTTTTTCAAGACCTTGTATCAAGAACCGGAAGGCAAGAGGATGATCACTGAGATTGGCTCGTACGGCTTCCAGTGCGGCCAGAAGGATGAGAGGTCCCTCCTTTATGCCAGACTTCTGAAGAGGGACCCTTCCTTTGACCCGGCCAAGATGAAGCTCCTGGCCCTATACAAGGAAGAGCCAGCTCCCCCCTTTCCCCTAGAGTAGGTTAGGATTTGAATTCAAAAACTTTAAATTTTCCCAAGGCCTGGGGGATGTCCGGCCTACTTCTGACTTGTGTAATATTATCTTTTGTTTGGCATGGTTTCCAATTTACCGGCTTGTTTCTTCTCTCAGTTTGCATGGTTGAACTCCTTTTCTATGCATGGTTATTGCTTCTTGCTTGATAGCTTTTCTTTTCTTTTTCTTGATCGCCTTTGAATGAACTTCCAAGTCAATAAAACTAACCGGCCTTATACCTTACGAATCGTTTTAAAGAACGTCCAAGCCATCTCATGTCCTGGTCTTAAAAACGTCCAGGCCTCATTGGCTTGGTTGACAATTTTATTGAATATGCTTGATTCCAAGTCAAAAGAAGTAACCGGCTTTATCCTTTATGTTGTCCAGGTCACCTCACGTCCTGGTCTTTGGTTAACGCCTTAGAAATGTCTAGGTCTGGTAGGCTTTGTTGACAACGTCCAGGTCTTTTCATGTTCTAATCAATTCCATCTCTTGCAAATGTCCAGGTCATGTGATGTCCTGGTCGAGTATAAGCCTTGAAAACATCTAGGTCTTGCAACCTTGAAGATGTCCAGATCTTGTGGCCTGACTAGTCTTCTGGACCGACTTGTGTCTAGGTTGAACTGCAACAGACGTCCAGGTCATCTCATGTCCTGGTGTAGTAGGCTAGGTTGAAAGTTTTGAAGACCACTTTAGACGCAAGGCTTGAAAACTTCCCGGTCATCTCATGTCCTGGTCTCTTGACTTGAAAATGTCTAGGTCGGTTTCTTCCTCGCCTGTTTCCTGACCCAGTCAACTTCCAGGTTCTAATGGTTTGGTTGCAATATGTAACCAGCATGATGTCAAATTTCCCGTCCAGGTGCTGGGTCTAAAATGTGACCGGTCAAATTTTCATTTTTCCAGTTTTGTCTGATTTCATCAAATCCTCCAACTAAAGAGTTACCGGTCACTTTTCTAAAAGTTGACCGGTCAAATTTTCATTTTTTCCCATTCGCATTTTCTTGTCAATCCAGAACATTCAAAAGTGACCGGTCACTTTTGACCATGCCACCATCTTCTCCTCCTCTGGCCTGGGTGTCATGCCTAACAGCAACCTTGCTCAAATTTTGAACGAATAATCCGAAACGGTTTTGGAATCATCAAGACCCGAACTTTGTTCGGAGATTTTGACCATGTCCTATGATCGCGAACCCTCTCCAAGGATCAGCCCTCTTCCAGGCAACACCCTTCTTCCAGGGCCCCTCTTCCAGGTTTTAAGTTTTTTAATGTGCCATTCTCTAATCATTAGGTTGACCTAGCCAACCCAATCTTCCCACGTGGGGGTATGCCGGTGAGAACCAGCCCTCATCCAATCTTACATGTCCATATGTTATGCGTTTGAAGTGAATTCTAGTCTTCTCTAGACCCTTCAATCTGCAAAGGATGGCTCATGCAAGACGGTAATCATTTTTTACTTTGGCATCTTTTTGCCCCTATCCAAATGAAAATTTGGTAGGGATCCATGTAAGTATGGACGCGAGTCCTCTTCCAGACCCAGCCTATCTCAAGGCCATACCTCAACATCAAGGCCCCTATCTCAAGGGTTTATCCTTTTTTTTTTTTACCTTGCCTCTTACATCAAGACATTAGTTTAGTATTACTGACCCAGCAACATTAGTATTGAAGAAATCTCTTATTTATCGTCGAAGGGGTATTACAAATACATGCCCTGCCAATTTGGTCTATCGGTAGAATTTTCTAAGGTGGTGGGAATTCCAGCACCTTTCCAACTCTTGACCTTCCATTGTTTCTAACTTGTATGTCCCAGGGCGTAATATTGCCTTGACCCTATATGGACCTTCCCATTTCTTCGCAAGCTTTCCACCATCACTCGGTTTGCTGGCCTCCCTTCGTCTCAAGACCTCATCACCGACTTGGAAATAACGAGGCCCTACCCTGTTATCATGCTAGGCCTTGGCTGCTTGCTGGTATTCTATCATTTTAGCCTCAGCGACCATCCGCCTTTCCTCCAACAAGTTCAACTCTGCCAAATGGTCCTCTTCATTCCCTTTCTCCTCATAGATCTTTTCCCGGAAGGTCATTATCTTTGCTTCAATGGGTAGTCTGGCCTCACATCCATAAGTAAGGACGAAAGGTGTCTCCCCGGTGGCCCTTCTCGAAGTAACTCGGTAAGCCCAGATGATATGTGGCAACTCCTCTAGCCAATTTGTTCCTGCCTCACCCAACCGCTTTTTAATCCCGTCGACTATTGTGCGGTTCGCATTCTCCACTTGACCATTCCCTTGCGGGTAGGCCACGGAAGCCTTGTTGTGAGTAATCCCGAAGTCCTCCAAGTATTTGGTGAACCCTGGATTCCGAAATTGAGGCCCGTT